GGGGGATGGGCAATCATTAATTAACTTACCCACAAAGAAAAAGCTCATCCTGCAATTACCGGCAGCAACAGCCTGCTTGACCACACGAGCAATACGTTTGGCCTCAAGACAGCATTAAAAGGAAAAAAAATGCCCAGGTACAGCACAGGTAAGTACCGCTAATCCTATCCTATCCTATCCTTCCCTATCTTCTACTTCATCCTGTTTTATACCATCCTACCCTATCCATTGGCAGCATATGACAGAAAATACGCAAAGAGCGTACAAGCTTCTTATATATGTGCCGTACATCAATAACCACAAGTAGTTAGTCCTGGCCAGGTACACCATAGTTAGTCCTGGCCAGGTACACGATAATTAATCCTGGCCAGGTACACCATAGTTAGTCCTGGCCAGGTACACCATAGTTAGTCCTGGTCAGGTACACGATAGTCCTGGCCAGGTACACGATAATTAGTCATGGCCAGGTACACGATAGTTAGTCCTGGCCAGGTACACCATAGTTAGTCCTGGCCAGGTACACCATAGTTAGTCCTGGCCAGGTACACCATAGTTAGTCCTGGCCAGGTACACCATAGTTAGTCCTGGCCAGGTACACGATAGTTAGTCCTGGCCAGGTACACGATAGTTAGTCCTGGCCAGGTACACGATATTATCCTGGCCAGGTACACCATAGTTAGTCTGGCCAGGTACACCATAGTTAATCCCGGCCAGGTACACTAGTTAGTCCTGGCCAGGTACACGATAATTAGTCCTGGCCAGGTACACCATAGTTAGTCCTGGCCAGGTACACGATAGTTAGTCCTGGCCAGGTACACGATAGTTAGTCCTGGCCAGGTACACGATAGTTAGTCCTGGCCAGGTACACGATAGTTAGTCCTGGCCAGGTACACGATAAATTAGTCCTGGCCAGTTACACATAGTTAGTCCTGGCCAGATACACGATTAGTCCTGGCCAGGTACACGATAATTAGTCCTGGCCAGGTACACGATAATTAGTCCTGGCCAGGTACACGATAGTTAGTCCTGGCCAGGTACACGATAGTTAGTCCTGGCCAGGTACGAAGTTAAGTCCGGCCAGGTCATGATAGATAGCCTGGCCAGGTACACGAAATAGTTCTGGCCAGTGTACAAGATAGTTCTGGCCAGGTACACGATAATTTCCTGGCCAGGTACACAAGGTCCTGGCCAGTACACGATAGTTATCTTGGCCAGGTATGATGTTAGCCTGAGCATGATACACGATAGTTAGTCCTGCCAGGTACAACGCGATGTTGAGTTCTGGCCAGGGGCAACGATAATCTGGCCTGGCAAGGTAACGGCATGTCGCCTGGCCGCAACACTAATTACCTGCCTTCACGATAATTATACCTGGGTATAAAGATAATCGTCGGGCGTACTCGTAAGATAGTCCCTGGTCATGATGTATTAGGGATACATAGTTCTTCCCCACATACGGGTATGCAAGATAGTTCTGCCAGATGGTATGCAAGGGGTAGTGGGGAACAGATGTATGAAGAAGTGTTGGCCAGATGTATGCAAGACAAGTCTGGCGAGGATGATGGGCATGATATTCCTGGCCAGATGTATGCATGATAACCCTAGCCTGATGTATGTATGATAACCCTAGCCAGATGCATGCATGATAGCCCTGACCAGATGTACGCATGATAGCCCTGGCCAGATGTATGCATGCTAATCCTGGCCAGGTGTGTGCAAGGTAATCCTGGCCAGGTGTATGCAAGGTAATCCTGGCATGCGCCTGGCCTTGCAACACCTACACCTTACCAACTCCTTCACGGGTAAATAGATATACTGGTAACAGAGAAACGTCGGGCGAAACATCGTAATTTAAGGTCTCCTGGTACCAGTGTGTATTTCCACTTGTGGGATTACACTACTGTTTACACCCCCCCCCCCACCATAGCGGGTTACTTTAGAGAAGTTCCCATCACCAAAAACATGTCGCTAGGGAAGGGAAAGTGGAGGGAATAGGTGGGAGTGTAGTGAGGGAGAGAAGGGATGCGTCACAACAGTAGCAGCAGGTAGTACGGGAGAGGTGGGAGTAGGGAGGGAGGGAGGGCGTGCCAAGGCACCGCGGCCATGCCTGACAAACATCAATGCATCATCAAACTGGCATCACTTAATGGGTCATAATAATTTGCCATCACTAAACTGGTATTCATTTTTTGCATCGGCGTTCTGAAGCTCACATACCACATGGCATATATACCCTCTGAGCTTAAAGACAGCCATGTCTACGACTGTCTCGGTATATATATATATATATATATATATATATATATATATATATATATATATATATATATATATATATAATATATATATATATATATATACACACACACACACACACACACACCACACACACAACACACACACACAACACACACACACACACACACACAACACACACACACACACAAGGGAGTATCCATTTTAATGCAATCTCCATCTCAGTAACAAATATCGTTGATGCCGTCAGACTGGTGCGAGAGAGGAGACAGATACTGAACACAGGTATGTGGTCAGTATTTCTCTACAGTGGAGAACGGCTTTAATGACCTTCGTATAGTCGGACTTGAATCCTGACAAGTCAACTTCAAGCTAGAACAATTCCATCAAGACCCCAGTTAGGAAATGTACGTACGTCTCAGCTTAACAAATCCTTCCTAACTAGCTAAACTGATCTCCAACTAGGTCGTGTTCTCACTTGTTTTTGGGTTAGATCGAGTTCTACTCGATCTAACCTAAAACAAATTAACATTTATTTTGTTCTATTAGGTTAACGTAAATTAGCTAATATTCACCGTCAATAAGGATATAACAAACATGCGGTACGTTGTCTGACAGCTGAGTCCTGGTTCCTGAGACTCTTAACATGACAGCTGAGTCCTGGTTCCTGAGACTCTTAACATGACAGCTGAGTCCTGGTTCCTGAGACTCTTAACATGACAGCTGAGTCCTGGTTCCTGAGACTCTTAACATTGGTATCACCACGAACACTAGGTTGTATCATGTACTCAACTGCAATAATCTTGAAAAATTAGACACATGTGCAACTCTTGGGTATCTTTATTGAGGAAACGTTTCGCCACACAGTGGCTTCATCAGTCCATACAAGGATAAACTTGAACAGGAGGAGAATGAGGTAATCAGTCCCTCAGTCTTGGAGTTGGTATGAAGAACACAGTAGTCGTAGAATCTTCACGACTACGATGTTCTTCACACCAAGACTGAGGGACTGATTACCTCACTTTTGTATAGTTCTTCTGTTTTCCAATTATGTTCTTGAATTTGTATTGCACATGTGTCTAATTTTTCATCTTGTCGGTACTGTATACCGTTCATGTGCAATAATCTTGGTGTCCTTTCGCTAGGCATACCCGCGGCTAATGTCCTCACTTGGTATACTTAAAATTAGCGTACCAGTTCTGAGTATACCACGTTGGTGATCTCGATCCGTAATTCATTTCAGAGTGCGTGTGGGTACTAGCATGAGAGGGGATACCAGCTTGAGTGGGGGGAACTTACATGAGGGTACCAGTTTCCGTGGGGATACCAGTGCTTTCGCGAGGATACCAACATCAAGGAATATCCATATACCCAGCGCTGCCAGGCGCAAACCGCTCGTGTCTGCTATTTCTTGACTGTAGGTCAACTATATGAAAAAAATAGGTAAATTTTCGGTAACCTGCCTTAAAACAATCAATATTAATTATTGTTGATGCTTAGAGCGTGCAGAAATCAACGAACAGTAATGCCAGATGAAATGCACGTCTTATATGGAGGAGTCATTGTGCTGAATAGTATAAAATAACGAGAAGTTGATGATTAAGACGTGTACAACAGTTGGCTATCTTTATTGTTAAAACGTTTCGCTTACACAGTAGGTTTCTTCAGTCAAATACGGAGGCAGCAGAGTGTAGTAGTTAAATGATGATGTAATCAGTCCATCAACCTTGGAGAAATAGTATTTGAGGTGGTTAGTCACGGAGATTAACTTTTTTTTAAATCTGAGGGACTGACCACCTTAAATACTGTTTCTCCTAGGTTGATGGACTGATTACATCATTTCATTTCAATAATACACCTGCTGCCTCTGCATCTGACTGAAGAAGCCTACTGTGTAGGCGAAACGTTGCAACTGTTGCACGTGTCTTGTAAAGTAAAAGGACACAAGTGCAACTAATGTGACATTTTATTGTGGCAACGTTTCGCTCTCCAGGAGCTTTGTCAAGCCGGGCTTAACAAAGCTCCTGGAGAGCGAAACGTTGCCACAATAAAATGTCACATTAGCTGCACTTGTGTCCTTTTACTTTACATATTGTCGGTAATTCTACCAACATTATTACGTGTGTCTTAATCATCGGAGTGATGGTATCTGACAAGACTTCCAGATATGCTTAATATGTATATATATTGGTAGAATTACCGACAATATGTAAAGTAAAAGGACACAAGTGCCACAATAAAATGTCACATTAGTTGCACTTGTGTCCTTTTACTTTACATGCTTAAAATGGTGTGATATAAGAGGATTACAATCACTATAAACATTACTTTCTACCGCAACAGTTACGCGAAAAATTACTGAACAACAACAGTCACCTGAAGAATTTCTTTCCGCCCCGAGAAAAACACACGGAGTTACTCAAATTGTTAACTGGGTTAAGTAAACCGAGATTTATTTGTTACGTCAATATTATGAAGACTAAGCTACGTTGCTGGTTTAGTTGTAAGAATGAAATAAAATAAGCATATCCAAAAATTGCCTAACTATATTTTGTGTGAGGGGCGAGACGAACTGTATTATCTGAAAACTGTACTGGTGCAAGTTTTTGATGGCAATAATCTTAAATGGAGGTGGTTGAACCACAAGACGAGACACCACTAGTATAATTGCTACTGTAACTAAAACAGTGAAGACGGGACACCACCAGTATAACTCTGCTACTATAGCTACGACAGACGATTACCTTGGGTGGTAGCGGTGAGCGAGCAGTGAGAGAGAGGGAGTCTGACTACTGGAGGTGGTGTAGGTGTAGCTGGTCGTGCTAGCGAGACTAGAATGCCTCACTCCCTTGAGGTAGGCGACCATACTGCAAATACTTGCGATAACGAACATGGACGAGTGTCTCATTACACCAGTGACGATACACAACGAAGATGGATGCTCCATCAAGCATGTCGTAGAGACAGCCAAGGTTGGGACAGGTGCCATGACTCACTATTTTGCAGCAAGAAGGACATGCGTCAACACAAGAGGGACTTACTGTGAATAACAAGCATAAAAGCATGTGTGGACAAGAGGGCGTGGGAAAGAAATGCAATGATAGAAATGCTTACAATGGGTGGGAATGGTAGGTTTAGAGAAGTGCCTGCCTAGTTTGGACCAGTAGGCCTACTGCAGTGTTCCTCCAATCTTATGCTCTTATGTTCTAAGACGTGCAATTCACGCGCGTTCGTGTGTGTGTGTGTTATGTCTTTGTGTGAGTGTTGCGCGTTGTGTGTGTGTGTGTGTGTGTGTGTGTGTGTGTGTGTGTGTGTGTGTGTGTGTGGTGGGAGAAGAGGGTGGAGAACGGGGGGGGGGGCGTTTGGATAGGGGTTGCTGGGAGTAGGGGGAGATGAGTCATCTTGGCTGGGCCTGTTATTCTGAGAGGATGACTCGCACAGACATACATTAACAGTCCACAAAAACCTTGTCGGGTGACCATCAAATGTTGAGAGTTGAAACCTCCACCATGTGATGATGAATGATGATATATGATGATGATAATGGTGGTACTTGTGCTACTGGTACTACTATTGTTGTTACTGGTACCGGTGTTGCTGGTATTGCTAGCGCAGGCGTTGGTGGTGGTGGTGCTGCTGCTAGTGTTGTTTCTGTTGCTGGTAATGCTCCAAATGCTGGTGCCTGAGGCGCTGCTGCAGTAATAATGATTGTGTTGTTGCTGGTACTGCTGGGTGGTGGTGGCGATGCTTCTGGTTATTACTGGCATCGTTCGCCGATATGTACCCCAGCTTGTCTTCACACCGTACATAACGAGCGTATTGTTTATAACGATGTAAGAGATTGGTGTATCCTCCGGCAGCACACACTCGCACCACCAGTGATAAACCTGGTTTCAGTTTCCTTGTTTTTCCTCGGCTATCTCGTTACCAGACGTTTCTAGGCCTTTTTAATATATATATATTATATATATATTCTGCAAATTTATAAATTTATGTAACCTAATCTAACCCAAACCTAAAATAAAAAAAATACCACTTCAAAATGTACAGGAGTCGTTAGGAACGTGACGGACACTGCGATAGGGCATTAAATTCAGGTAGTATAATGAAGACAGGTTGTGTCCGCTGCTAGGCGTCACCATCGTGTTCGTGTAATCTGCTTACTGCCAGTTAACTCGACGTATATGTGAGATAATTTACATTAACCTACCTGAACCTAGAACACAATAGACGAATGTAAACTCTTATGAACGTTGTATATTGGAAACGGGTTGTGTACTGAAGTGATGGCATCAGTACCTGCAGAGAGGGTATCTAGATTCTAAGGATTAGGGCTACCCTCCCCTTCTTTGGATCAAGCCTGGTTGCCTCGTGTTTCCCAAACATTGCATTACCCTTATGGTTTAAGCATTTCTTGATGAATGTAATAATGTACTTAAGTGAGTAGGTGTCATCCTACCACACGTGGGTTACAACCTAAGAATCCATCACCACCTACCACATCACTCGGTACTACTGCAAGTTTACAAACACCAGTACCAGTTAAACATATACAAAAGTAAACAAAAAACAAACGCTGCTGGAGGCAAGCCCTCATACGCAGTTTCAAGAGTAGGTATGATAGGGCCCAAGAGGCCAGGAACCAATAAATTAAGTCGACTGTAGCTTAAGAGACGAAATTCAACCCTGGAAAACAAGTCAGTAAGTATGTACACAGCTGGAGAAAGCAAGAGAAATACAGACGGGAGGGGAAGAGCACACTATTGTAATCAGGAGGAACTACATACAAATGCTTCCCATCCTCTTAACAGCATTTCGCTGTTGCTATGTCAAATGGGTGACTGTTCAATGGCTTTACACAGTAATTATCTAATTGTGTATTTTCGAGTGCGCTTGGTGGATCCCAGTTCTTTGTTCGCGGTTCAAAACATTTTATCACTATATAAGATTTCACTGGCTAACGTTGTAGTATAACTGGTCATTTATTATTAATAAACCACAATCTAGTCTAATCCAGTGTAACTTAACTTAAATCGAGAAATTTATTGATATGGGGAAAATTCTAGTGATGACATACTGATTGTTAATAAACAGTCAGAATTTCAACTTTTCTTAAGATGACGTGTTCAAGATGAAAGTGTAATTGAAAAAAGTAGTGTGGGGTAAGAGACTGGGAATAAAAACGAGAACAAGCGAAATACTGAAAGAAACTGCCTAGAAGTGGCAGAAACCGGGAGGACAAACCATCCCTGACAACAGGTCAAGCATCGATAAAAAACAAATGCACCGTGATCAGTACTTCATAAACATACAGAAGCAAAACAGTACATGTACAAGGGCAGTAGTCCCCAGCCTACGAGCCCAGGACCCCTGAAGACCGCCCCGAGGTCCGCCAAGCTTTGCTACAAGTATTGTTCCTCCAACAAGCGCTTCACTCCCTCTTTCCTCTGTTATCCACCAATGTCTATCCCGCCAAACCTGTGGAGATCCGCGAAATTCTTTAGGGTTAAAAAGGGGTCCTCGTATTGGAAAAAGTTGAGAAGCACTGCGCTAGAGCATGGAAAAAACAAAATGTGGATGAGAGGAAAACAAGACTTTATAATTTAGGAGAGTCGTGAGAGAATGTGACACGAGTAAGAAGAGCGTCACTTAGAAAAGTATATATCATGAAAAATAAAATCGCAACCACAGTTTTCCCCAGTTACATTAGGCCGAAACTAAGCGATAAGAATGAAGGGGTGAAAATCCCGTATGAACAACAAAGAATGCGAAGATCTGAAAAGTACGAGTAAAAGAGAAACGTACAAGGAATTGAGTAGCACAAAGAAGTAAAGAACTTGATCGTACAAATAAAGAAGCGAGAAACTCAATGGTATTCATAAGGAATAATTCTCTCGAATAATATGGACAGCACACGAAACTCTAGCAACATGACTTATCACTAGTATCATCAAAATAAAAAAAAAAAGCCAAAGAGGTAACTGGACACAATGAAAGTCAATCTAACAACAAGTATAATGAAAGATCAATGTAACTGTACATAACGGTGGAAATGTTTTATAAGCCATAGGAAACTGGAGAGTTACCAAAAACCTCTAGAACAGAGAATGTAGTACCGATCTTCAACAGGTAAGTCGCTCTCCACTGTACGCCAAATGACCTTAAGAGTTGCCTATTTTCCAAAGCAGTGAAGATAATCAAGGGAAGAGTGGTAGAACACAAGTTTCAGGAAAATTTAATCTTCTCATAAATCAGCCAGAACTCTTTGACAAAGTACTAGAGATTAAGTAGGAAAGATGGATGGGTGGACTGAATTTTCCCGGACTGAAGAAAATCATTCAACAAAGTAACACAGCAGAGAGAAACAGGTTTGATTAATAGGAAATGCACTACAACGGATCAAGGACTACCTGAAGCGAAGGCGAGTGTGATGGTTAGGAAAGAAGTATCTGGACAAAAGTGACGAGTTAGGTACTAAAATAATAGTAATTAGAACCATACTTTTTCTAATATTTGTAAATAACATGACAATAGGAATTAATGTTCATAGAGGTGAAGAGGTATACGAACAGAGGTAGACTGGATGGTTTCCAGAGAATGTGGACACACTGCAAGAGTGGTCAGATAAACTAGTTGCTGGATTTCAGCACAGCGAGTGTAAAGTTATGATCATAAAGGAAATAAGAAAGAAAACTAATCAGTAAACATAACCTGAGAGGAAAAAAAAAAACTGAAGACCACAAACAAGAAGTATTTAGGAGTGCGCCTAATACCCAGCATATCACCAGAGGCACACCAACAGAATAACTTCGACGGCTTAAGCGAGGCCAGCCAGCTTTGTAACTGCCTTTAGTAACTTCAACAAAAAGAGTTATTTTGGGACCTATACAGACAGTATGTCAAGCTCACTGTGTGCGGCATCGGCGTGGAAGAAACAGCTGGTCAGGCACGTCAAATAGAAAAGAGCCAGAGATCTGCTGCCAGAACAGTTCCCGAGATGAAATGACTTGACTAATGAGAGACAAAGTGTATCTGACTACCTTAGAAGACCGGAGAGCAAGCGACGATACAATTAAGACTTACAAAATACATAAAAGGCACTGACAAGGCGAACAGGGAAATATTACCTGAAGAGATTATTGTATATTCGTAGGGAAGCTCTAAATTTATGGAAGCCATAAATAGCTTGGGGAATTTGAGATAATCAGGTTTTATCCAACATGAAGGTACTTTTCCTGATGTGAGGTGGGTGAGTACAAGGATGAGTGAGCCAAGCCAAGGCTGTGTTGCGCCTGGTAATGGACATAACCTCCCATGAAGTGTTGACCAAAGCTTTAAGCAGCAACCATACATCCAGTTATTTCATTACTAATGGTTAATAAGTAAATATAGGTTAATTTAAGTTAGGCTGACCTTAAATAACTTATTTACTTTCGTGGATGCTTAGATCATGACGAAATTGAGGGCCAGTTTTTGATGGGATGGTCGTCGGATGGCCAGAGCCATCCTCGTGCTTCACCATGAAGTGAACAACAGGGAACCTCAGGGAGGTGGGGAGCTCCCTAGGACAAGAAAACGGTAGCAACGTGCAGGAGAAGGAAGAAAAAAAAAAGGCGTAGAAAACGAGGAAAGGGAAAAGAAAGAGTTACAAAATTAGAAGGAAAATATGATGGAGGCGACGGCGACGGCGACGGCGACGGCGGCGGCGGCGGGGGGCGGCGGCGGCGACGGCGGCGGCGGCGGCGGCGGCGGCGGCGACGGGGGCGGCG